GCTCCAGGTCCTCTACATATATACTATAGCTTTCAGTTAAGTACTTTTATAGGACTCTTGAATGTGTACATGAGTGGGTCTCTGATTCTTGTGCCTTCTCTTGGGGAGCTTTTATTTTTTTCTGTTTACTTGGTTTGTCCAACTTCAATATGATGTATTTTGTTGTTGTTTTATTTTATTATATTTTATTTTGTTATGTTTTAGTGTTATCTCTTAGTATAGAGCTGTGTGTGAACACAAAGTTCCACAATTAAACAAGAAGCTATTTACAATTGATAGCTCCTGGATCTAGGCATCTAGGGATCTAGGGATCTTGGCAACTAGGGATCTAGGAACCTAGACATCTAGGGATCTAGGAATCACAGAACCTAGGGAATCACAGGATCTAGGGAGTAGATCATGACAAGAGATCAGGTGTAGAGGAATGGAGAGGAGTGGAGGAAGGAGAAACAGTATTTAGATTACATGGTATAAAAAAACTCCCCATTTAATAAAAGGGGGCTGGGAACTACATTTTTTGTTGGTCTTGAGAATGAAGGCTTCTCTGAAGTGTCATGACTCAGTGACACTCCATTTTAATATAAATGAACATTCTTCATCCAGAAGCTATCAATTGCAAATAGCAACTAGTTTAGTTGTTGTACTTTGTGTTCACTTCTCCTCTGGATTTTGTCTGGTTTTAACTTGCGCATGCTGCCACAGTCTGCAGGCCTCCATCATATGTGCATCAATAAGGCACTGTCTGGAAGACACTGCTTCCTTGGAGCCATCCACCAACTCTAGCTCTTACGCTCTTTTCTTTTCTTCTTTGGATAAATCCTGGAGTCTTGGATCAAGGAAAGTGATATAGTTATCCTATGTATGGCTGATTGGTCCTAAATGTCTCACTGTCTGCATGTTTTCCAGTTGTGTGTTTCTGTTAATTCCCATTTACTGCAAGAAAAAGTTTCTCTGATGAGGCCTGAGCAATGTACTAATCTATGGGTATAGCAGTATTTTTACTTTTATGTTTGTTTAGCAGAATAATAGGAATAGATTTTCCCCTTGGACATTTGATCAATCCAGTCTGAAGTTCTTGGCTTCATTAAGAGTTTTCAGGTATAGGTTTCATCATCTAATCAAAGTGTGATTGGTTACTTCCATAGTATTAGTGCGACTATGTTCCAATGTATCTTGTAGGCAGGCCACTATTGGAGCTCACATAGTTTGTGGCTGGATGAAATTGATAAATACTTTTTTCCTTCAATAGCAAGTATTGTAACTTCCAGCACCATGAACACTAGTCAATAGGAGTGAAGCTTCTAGTTGGGCACCAGCTTTATTTCTCCATGTTCAATGATATAAGTATGTGGTATCTTCAGCAATTTGTCTTACTGTCAGCATGTGGAGGCAGTAACCGGTAGTATTGGTAATAGCCTGTAGTGTCTAAGAACAGTCTGTGAGAACTCTTTGGTCAGTGAGTCAAAAGTATGTATGTAATCCATTTCTGGTAACATTTGTTGGATTTTACTCAGAAGCATATAATGTCTAGTTGGGACATTGTCTCCTCCATTTTATTATTTCCTTATTTACATTCTTCCTATACATGTATATATTTTAGGAGGCTAGTAGTTCTTTATACAGCTTTCCAAAAAGTCATCAGTGTTAGTTTTCCGTTCCTGTAGTCCCGTTTTTACTCTGCCTTTCGATCACAACCCTATGAAGCCTTCTGTTCTAATGTCTCCTTTATCTTACAAAACTATGCTCAATTTCCTCTTCTTTAGAAAAGACTTTTCTTTCCTGGTCCCTTTCTAGTTACCTAATCTCTGTGGTTATTCTAAATAGAACATCCAATCTAAATCTTAAGAACTTACATCCAAATAGAAGAGAAAACATGCAATGTTTGTGTTTTGGGGTTTTAGGTTACCTCACTTAAGATGATTATTTCTGTCTGCATCAATTTACTTGCAATTTCTATTTTTAAGTGCTGAATAATATTCTTTTCTGAAAATACAACTCTCATTTTCATTACTCATTCATGAGTTGGTAGATATAAAAACTGTGTTTAATCTCTGGCTATAATAAACAGAACACGTATGATAAAGTATCTATGTGATATGATGTAGGATCCATTGGGTACATGCCTAAGAATGGTAAAGCTGGATCTCATGGTAGCTCTATTTTCAGCTTTTTGGAGAACATCCACACTTATTTCTAGAGTAGCTATACCAGTTTGCACTCCCTTCAGAAAAGGAAAAAATGTTTCACTTTCCTTGTACACTTGCCAGAATCTATTGTCATTTGTTTATTGATCTTGACAATTCTGAGTTGTGCAAGATGAAATCTCAATGTAGGTTTAATTTGCATTTCCCTGATGGCCAAGGATGATGAACTCCCTTTTAGTGTTTCTCAGCCATTGAGTTTTATCTTTTGTAAACTCTCTGCTTAGTTCTCTACCCCATTTTTAATTGGGTTATTTGTTTTCTTGATGTTAAGTTCTTTTTTGAATTATTTGTTTATTGTAGATACTGATCGTCTGTTAGATGTATAATTGGTAAAGATTTTTTCTTAATCTATAAACTACTTGTAAGATTGTAGCCTGTGCTGTACAGGTACTTCTTAGCTTTTTAAAGTCCCACTTATCAATTGTTGGTCTTAATACCTGTGCTATCTATTGGTATCTTCTGTTTGGAAAGTCCATTCCTGTGTCAGTGAGTTCAAGCCAATTTTCTAGTTTCTCCTTTGTCAGATTTAGGGTATTCGGTCTTATTCTGAGGTCCTTGATCCATTTGGAGTTAAAGTTTGTGCAGAACGATAGATGTAGATCTATTCAATTCTTTGTGTAACCACCCAGTTTGGCCAGACCCACTTACTGAATACACCATACTACTTTTCTCCCGTTTGTATTTTTGTCTTCGTTGTCAAATATTAGCTGTCTATAGAAGTGTGGACTTGTTGTCAGATCTTCAGTTATGTTTCATTGATCAATGTATCAGCATGCTAATATTGTGACCTTTTTATTACTACTGCACTGTAATAAAACTTGAAATTTGAGACAGTGATACTTCCACATATTTTACTTTGTCCAGGATTATTTAGTTAACCTGTTATTTCTTTATGTTACCATATCAAGTTTAAGATTGTTTTTCAATTTCTGTGAGGAACTGTGATGGAATCTCGATGTGTATTTCATTAAATCTATAGATTGTTTTTGATGACCATTAAACCATATTTATCCAACTGATCCATGAACACAGGAGACCATTACATTTTCTGATATCTTCCTCAATTTCTTTCTTCAGTGCCTTAATGTCTTAAAGTGTGTTTTATTATACAAGTTGTTTGCTTATGTGAGGAGAGCAAAAAAGAAAGTGAGAAACTGAGACAGAGACAGAGACAAGAGCTATTGTGAAAGGAACTGTTTCCTGATTTCTTTCTCACTATGGTTGCTTTAAGGTTACTGATTGTTGTGTATTAATTTTTATTAAACTTCTCTGAAAGTATTTATAGCTAGAGAAATTACCTAGAAGATCCTTTTATGTATAGAATAATATGATTTGCAAGTAAGAATACTTTGACTCCTTTTTCTACTTGTATCCCATTGCTGTTCAATTGTCTTATTGATCTAACTAAGTATTGAGAGAATGGACATCCTTGTTTTACCAATTTAAATGAAAATCTTTGGGTTTCTTTTCATTCAGAATGATGTTGGCTCTGGGTTTGCTATAAATTCCTTTTATTACATTAAGATATGTCCCTAGTATCTCGTCTCTGGAGTTTTATTACAAAGGGATGTTGTATTTTGTAAAGGACCCATTCTGTATCTCAGGAGATAATCATGTGATTTTGTCTGTTATCTTGTTTATGTGATGGATTGCATTTATTGATTTATATATGGTGAACAATCCTTGTATCTCTGGGATGAAGCTAACTCTATTATGGCAGATGCCCTTTTGAGTTTGCTTTTTAACTGAATTTGCATGTATTTTATTGAGTATTTTTGCATCTATAGTCATAAAGGACATTGACCAATAATTTTCTGTTTTGATGAATCTTTGGTGGTTTTACTATCAGAGTAATAGAACCTTTATCAAATAATTTGGAAGTATTTCTTCAGTTTCTACTTTTCAGAATAACTTAGGAGTACAGACATATAAATCTTTAGATATCAGTCTCCTAAACATTATGGGATGGAATTCATCTTTTCTGGGTGATAAGAAATAAAATGTAATTAACATAAGATAGACAGGGCTAGAATGTAACTCAACCTGTACAGCGCTTGCCCAATATTTACAAAGACCTAGGTTCAATCTTCAGCACCACATAAATTAGGTGTTGTGATGTACACTTGTCATAGCACTCAGGAGCAAAGAATTTCAAAGAATTAATCCAAGGTTATCCTTGGCAAAATAGCCAGTTCAAGAATAGTCTGGGCTACATTAAGTCCCCGTAATTTGATAAAACTATCCTAGTTAGGGTTACTGTTTCTGTGATGAAACACCATGAGAACAGCAACTTGAAGAAGAAAAGGGTTCTTTGTCTTATACATCCACATCACTGTTCATCAGTGAAAGAAGGCAGGATAGGAACTCAAGCTAGGCAGAAAACTGGAGGCAAGAGCTGATGCAGGAGCCATCGAGCACTGCTGTTGGGTGGTTTGTTCTCTATGGATTGCCTATTTTCTTATGGAACACCAGTCTGTGGGTGGCCTCACCCAAAATGGCTCCTCCCCCATCAATCACCAACGAAGCCAATGTCCTACAGGCTTGCCTGCATTGATCTTTATGGAGACATGTTCTCAATTAAGGTTCTCTTGTCTCAGATGACCTTAGCTTGTATCAAGTTGGCATGAAACTACCCAGCACTAAAGCAAACCAAAACAAACAAGAAAAGCCAAGAAGGTAAATGATTTTTGTTTAATTCTAAAGACAAGTCTTTTGTTTCCCAGAAACTAAAATCTAAGGCTGACTTGGAAAATCGATAGCCTTTTTATATAGCATTGTAGTTTTGTTTTTTTATCTTTTTTTCCATTTTACTTAGTAGCCAGTATGATATTTTTTCCTCAATGTAACTTGTTTTTTGAAAGAACAGATATTATGGAAATCTCTGAAAAGAACTGGTTTTCCTGTCCTTTTAGACACTGCCAACATTTGGCTCTCTGGTTTATAATAATTGCCACAGTACGTCAGGTGTTGGCGCAGTCTCTTCTGTGGCCATTTGAATTGTCCCAGTTGCTCTTTAAACAGAAATGTGAATTCCCATACAAACATTTCTTTGGAATTCGTGATGGCAACATTGAAAATTGTTGACCTCAAAGTCAAAGAAAATTCATTATTGAATCAAAATATCTAATCATGACTAATATTCAAAATATTGAAAAGATGCTCTATAAAACTACCTTACTGAGTTGAGTGCTTCAGAAAAGCTGCATCCATGGTAAACTTAAATTTTTTCCCCTGATGAAAAAAATGTATATGGGAAATCAGATTGGCACAATTTGAATTCATTTTATATGAATCCAAATAGTTTAAAACAATGTTCATTTCTTTAACTCATGTTTTTAAGTCAATAAGATGGTGGTCATATCCTTCTGCAAAGAAGGAAGTAGAAACATCCAATATCTCTGATTTCATATAATCTCCTTGCTGCTTGGATCATCTCTGGATGGGAAAGGGAAGCCTGATTTTCTTCTTGAAATTCAATATTTCCCCGGAGCTTGACAGACTAGTTCCTGGCACTCAGTCTGTCAGCCTCGATTTATGTATCAACCAATCTCACTTTGTTCCAAGAAAATGATTAAATTGCCTAAGTCATAATTTCATTTGGGTTTAACGATTTAAACTATGCTGTCACTCATGTCCTTGTCATTCAGATAATTTCACAACTATCTAATATTATGTAGTGCCATGTTTTCTGTTTTAAAATCAAGTACTATGATGTTGTCTCTGCCCTCCAGGAGTTTATAATCTTAAGATATTTTTCTTCCAGAAAGCTTGCAAATCCCTATGAATTTTGAATTTTGCTTTAGTCTTTCCCCAAAGTTCTATCTCAAATATTTTATCTTTAATTCGAAGAACAAGATATAGTACCAGTATGTGTAATGTGTGTATATATATATATATATATATATATATATATATATATATATATATATATATATATATATATATATGCACAGGTGTGTGTGTATGTATGTATGTATGTATATATGTCCTTGAGAACACAAATCTGCCATACCAGTAAGTGCAGATACATTTTTGTGGGGGCTAGTAGGACTTTGATAGGCTATGCACTTGGCTTGTTCGACCATGAAAATATGGTAGTAACATTTTTACAATACTCTATTAATAATTGGAAGTCAACTCAATGCTTTGACCAGCATATCAGTCTTAATCATATAAAAGTTGAGAGTGCAGAAGATACCTTTCTCCTTTTGTCCACAGACTAGCTAGATATCAGCTTACTCCAGTAGCTTTCATGTGGATGGCAGCCAGTCCCTTCTTCACTTCCATGGAGATACAGAGCACAAGGCACTAATAATTTTAAACAGAATCAAGCTAGAAGTGGTCTGAAGGATTTTTATTTTTATCTCAATGTCTTCTCAAACACAACCATCTTCAGAAAGCACACATTATTGATAACTGTTGTACCTGTCTTTCTTTCTAAACAAGTCACCCACATGCAGTTTGCACTTGATGGTCCTGGGGGAATATCTTCTTATCTCTGTGCATGTGATAACCTACTTGCTGCTGAAGCTGGCCCAGGCTCTCCCTTCTCTTTGGCAAGCTTATTTATCCTTTTCCCAACTCTGACATTCCTAGCTCCAGCTGCCAGGATAGGCCTGGTGCCTTTCTCAGAGTAGATTAGTTTGCATTCTACAGGATTAAAAAGATTTAGAGAGCAACTGAGAGTTGGCAAAAAGAGCCTGAGTTGTTTACAAATGTCAAAAAAAAAGTGCTGCCAGATTTCTGAAAGAAGAAAATGGAAGGACAGATGGAGGCACCTTTAAATCAGGTTTTAGCAGACAAAATGGTGAGAAAACAGCAGCCAGGACCTTTAAGAAAACAATCTTCTTATATGTTGAGAAAGAAGGAGGGTGTGGAGAAGCAGACAGAGAATGATGCTTTTTGACAAGGAGTTGAGAATTTTCAAATTGGACAGTTTCTGGCATCATACTCCAGACTCTTCTGGTCTAGTCAATCTTGTGGAAACCAGCACTGGGAAAAGACAAACCAGAGCAGTGGTGTTGAAGGGCACAGTACTCTTCCATTACACCTGCTGCTTGTATTCTGATTTCTTTGATGATTCAAAGAAAGGGGTGATGGTGGGCCTTTTGTCTTTGATGTGCTTTCTCAGAGAAAGGGGACAGTTATCAGCTCAGAGAGAAGCCTTGATCTCCCAGAAAGTCTGTGCAGGTGACAAAGGAAATGAAGAAAGCTGATTTCAGTGCTATGTCTTGCATGTGTCCAGCAATGGCTCCTGAGAACAAAGAGAAGCCATTGTCCCTGTAACCCCAAAAGGCTCGGTTAGGTGTGAGAAAAGAATCAGAACATGTCTACTCCACTATATGTGTGAAACGATTGGAAACTGTTCCATCATGTTTTCTGCCTTCGATAGGGAGCAGCCTTGAAGAAGAGAGAACCAGTGTGAATAGAAAGAAAAGGGATGAAAAATGGCCACGATGTTAGAAACTTGGTACAAACTTCCTTGGGGTTTGACTGAACTTGAAGTAAATGCTTAAGTCTATTGGGAGACCTCCACAGGAGCAGTGTGTGTGTGTGTGTGTGTGTGTGTGTGTGTGTGTGTGTTAGCTGTGGCTGTGTGAGGGTGTGGGTATGTGTATGTGAGTACAGGTACTCAAAGAGGCCAGGCACATTCTATCACTTCAGGTGGAACTACAGATCATTTGTGTGGGAACTAAATACAGATCCCCTCCAAGAACTCTGACCTTTGGAGTTGTCTCTTCTGCACAAGAATTAACTTTTACCAAGCCAAAACCCAGCATTCTTGACTGATGAGCTAATTCTCCAGCTCTAACACCCCTTGATACCTGTTTTTTTTCCTTGTTTTTTCTTTTCTTTTTTTTTCCCAAAGACAAGCAGAAAGAATGGAGTTTGAGACTTCCTTATGGTTGGCTAAAGACTGATGAATCCTCCCTCAGGTATCAGCTGTCAGGCAGTTAGTCAAACTTAGTTTCTCCATTTATCATACAGGTAGGGGTGGTTAACTCCTGTGGTTCAGAGAGCCTTTAAAAGACATCCAATTCACTTGTTAAACTCTCACCTCTACCTTTAGCAGCTCAGCTGTGCTGGTGACCTCCACCCCTCTCCTGTGCTTCTCAGAATATGCCTTCTTTCAAGGCATTGCTAAAATAGATGACATCATACTCATTGGCTTGCATTAGTGATTGAGCTGCCATTGAGATCAGAAGCCCATGTCAGGGCCATCTGTAGATATAGTACCAATCAACAGGCAACCTATTCAAGTGCATCCAGGGTAATTACTCTAGGAGAGAGATCCTTAAGGGATGTTCATGTACTTCCTGTCTGAAAGCAGAGGATGGAGCTTATCCTCTCTGGAGAATATTTAAAGCTTCGTAGACTTTTTCTCCTGCCTCTGCTTTTCCTTTCTCCATCGAGTTCCTCCTCATAGTTGGTGCATACTCAGCCTTGTTGTTATGCCCCTTTACCCTGACTGCTCTCTTCAGATATTTCCATCTTACTTTATTATTTGCATGTGTGCATCAAAACACAAGGAACCAAACATAGCCCAGGGAAGCCAAAGTTCTCCTACAGTTTACTCATTGACTAAAAATTGAGTGATAGTCCCATGCAGCTCAGACTGGACCAGAACTTGTTATCTTGAGCCAGGGTTGAACTCTCTGTGTCCCTCCTCCAGGGACCAGGCAGGCTTCCCTACATGCAATAATGTTACGTAAGCATTTATGTCAATAACTTTCAATTATGTGAGTCATACTTCCTTGGGCCCTTCATAATATCATCCTATTTAGCTCTTTTTAAAAAGGTGTTTCAATTTCTCCAATCTAATTTGCATTGTCCTGTCTTTATGAATTCTTATCTTATTTCCTATGAGTGTGTGTGTGTGTCTGTGTGTGTGTGTGGGGGGGGTGTTGCCATGCAGGTGTATGTGGCAGCTAGAGATTGCCAGCTAGGTATCTACCTCATTGTTTTCTATTTTGTTTCAGTGTTTGCTTTTGATTTGTTTTTGAGACAGGGTCTCATTATGTAGTCAAAGATAGCCTAGAGCCCAGTAAATATAGATCATTTTGGTTTTAAATGCATAGAAACCCACCTGTTTCTGTCCCTAAATGCTGGGATGAAATGTGTGTGCTACCTTAATACCTGACCTATCATGTTATATATGTATTTTTTGAGGCAAAATCTCTTATTAGTTTTGTAGCTTTCCATTTCAGTTAGTATTGCTTGGCAAGGAGTCCTAGAATCCACATGTCTCTACCTTCCAGTATTGAGGGTATAGACATGTACCACCACATACAGCTTTCATGTGGGTTCAGAAGATCTAAACTCAAATGTTCATGTTTGTGCCACAAGTACGTTAGCCACTCCACCACCTCCTCAGCTCCATCCTGTCTTCATCACAATGGCATTTCAGTACCTCTGAGTGTTAGCAGATCCAGACTCCATTCTACCGGTAACAAGCTCCATAGGGGAGAAAACCTTTTTCCCCTAAAATCACATTAGGATATAACCATATCACAATGATACACTGATAATTATAGAAAACTGGACAAATGGGAATATCTTCTGAGGGCTCTTAACCCTTTTAGTCATCATTGGGGTGTTCTCTGAAAAGATTCTCAAGTAGAATCGTCAGCTTATAAAACTGAAAAGAATAGGAGACTGACTATGTTCTGAGTCCTGAGAAACATTCTAAGAGCATCAGTTCCCTGAAGAAGAACATGCACGGATTAGTACGAGGCAAGGGGAGAAATAGAGAGGCTAAGGTCACCCTAGTTTGAAGCCCAGTGCAATGGTTTTTTTCCTTATATCTTCCTGTAAATCTAACAAGAGTCTGTGGTTTATTTTAACTTGCTTTCTGATGACTCAAGTCACAAGCTCCAGCTGAGAGACTTGGTTTATGTGGGTGTTTGATTCAGTATAGTATGTGGCCTTTTGGGACTTGAATAAAAACAACCAATTCCTATATTGAACAGTGGTAGAAGTATCCAAAGTCAGATGAGGGAGACAATAGGGGATGCTACCCTTGGTTTTACTTTCTAGGAATTTCTGAAGAACACAGGTCTGAATAACAGAGGTAAGTATACCACCAGCAAGAAAGATGGAGAAGCCATCTCTGTACCTTCAAAACTGAAACTGACAGGATTTTAAAATCTACTTCTAAAGTGCATCAACTGGATGACCTACTGTCTATATTCTCTCAGTATTATTGTCAAACAATTCAATTTACTTCCATAAGCCTTATTATTTTACTTTAAAGGCTTTAAACTAGCACAAGCAATATTAGATTTCATTGCCGCATTTCCAAACAAAATTGTTTTGTTGATTCTCTTCCCCTATTGTCTCCTCCATCTGCCTTTGGATACTTCTACTCCTCCCACAAGCTGTCTCTACTGACATGTATACACTATCGCCCTCCCAAAGTCTGCTTCAACATCTCTTTTCCCATTTTGTGGTCACTGTACTAATTACTAGCTTATATACTCTTAATAGACATTTTTAACTTAATAGTTTTATTTTTGAGTACTTCATTCATGAGCATTGAGTTAAGAGTTAATACTACTCCATCCCTTCCTCTCCTTCCAACTTCTCCAATGCCCCACAGTTCAAAAATCTCTTCTATAGTCATTATTGCTACATATGTAAGCATATATGTGTATGTATATCTATGTTTATATCTTATTTAATGAGTCCATTTAGCTTACTTCCTGTGTACATGTGTTTGGGACTGACTACCTGGAATTAGATAACCTATGTGAAGCTTCTGTCTCCAGGAGACTGATTATTCCTTTCTCAGCAGCTGTTTATCACCTGTAGCTCTTCATTTAGGGGTGGCACACTGTAGAATTCCTCCCATCCACATAGACATGACTAATGTTGTTATTCTTGCATTATTCAGGCAGCCATATTGTTGATAGTTCATGAGTGCATTGATTCTTGTAATGTTTTGGGGACACTATCTCATAGCATACTATGGGTTTTCTGGCTTTACAGTCTTTGCATGACCTATTCCATAATTTTCGATGAGCCTTAGGAAGAGATTGAATTATAGATGTATCAGTTGGGATTGGACACTTCGGAGTCACCTATTCTTGTATTTTGACCACTTTGGAATCTCTGCAACAGTATCCATCTATTACAAAGCAAAGCTTCTTTGAGGAAACCTAGAGCTTATCACACTAGGCTGGAGCATAGGATGTATGACACAGCCTGGTCTGGAGTAGGATAGGAGTCCAACAGTCACTGTAATAACTTCTAAGATAAATAATATGAGGATTCATGATTCACAACTGTGGTCATGGGAGGACTGAAGTTCCGAAGGGAGAAGTGAACAAAAGCCTCAGTCCTGGTGAAGGCAGGCAGTCAGATCTTGCATGAGTCTCACACAAACCCTCTCTCTGTATCTGCAGATAGGTTCACAAGCTAGGACTCAGCAGTGTCCCAAACAAAACTGAACCATGGAAGCTGAGTGAAGATTTAAACACATGACACTAGGGCACAACTGTGTCCTTGAGCATTCACATGAATGAGCCAAGCAGTTTATAGAGGAAAAAAAGTTCAACACTCCTCTTCTAGTCCTCCAATTTTCCTATATCTACTATGCACATTAGGTATTGATTCTTGATGAAGTTCTGAAGCATAAATGAAAGGTCAGTAAAATCAGTATTGTTCAACATACTGCATCTAATAAAATATCTTTTAGCTGCTCAACAGCTGCATAAGAACAAATCAACCAAAGGGGTAGAATAAATGAGAGAGGTGCTTTACAGACTTACACCTCACTGAGGTGCTATTGGCAGTGGATAGACAATTGCAGGTGGATGAAGAATCATTGTTTTTGTTTATTTGTTTTGTCTTATTTTGTTTTTACTATGTTGCCAGTAGTAGTTTTTCCATGCACTGGTGGGTTGTCTTCCACACATGTACATGTAGGTAGCACTAATTGAACTTAGAGGGTTATATACAAAAAGGACAATAATTTTAAGAGATGTATATTAGGGGTGATACGGGACATTTGGAAAAGGGAAATGTGGTAGATGTGATTATGTTTCATTGTATAAGTACATGAAATTACTCAGAAGAAAGAAAGGTTTATAATTAAAAAAATAAATTATCTTCTTGTTCTAACTACTATTTTCTTATCTTTGTTTTTATCTAGGTTCTATATGGTTTAGGTTTCTAATCTTCCAAATGTCAGATTTTGACTTGAGGAGGAACAAAGAGAAAAAGAAACCACCTCAGTTCTCTTAGAAAATGATTTTGGGTTGAAGGATTGTTTTCATTTTCTGTAAAATTGAGATTTAAAATATAAACCTGGCAAATATGAATTTACAGAGATGCCCAGTAGTGTGTCTGGCTAGTGCAGAGGTTTGCTAATGGCTGCTGGACTCCAGACACTAAATTGAGCTATCATGTTGATCCAGAATCTACAGTTGTGAGGGCTGCCATAGCAATGGGCCACAAACTAGGTGACTTAAGCAGCAGAAATTTATTTTTTCAAGGCTCCAAAGGCTAGACAGCTGAGATCAAGGTGTCAGCAGACAACTACTCTTCCTCTCTGAGGCTGCAGAGGGAAGGAAATGTCTTGGCTATTATCCAGCTAGCTGCAGAAGTCAGTATTCTCCTCTCTCTACATTGTCTTCTGTTGACATCTTTCAAATGAATTCCCATCTCTTTGCTCTTTCTGAGTTATTATCCCATGGCTCCTTCTCCTTGTAAGTTTGAGGAGAGCTGAGGGAGGCAGGCAGTCTGGTCTCCTCACTCCTTTGTACTTTATCAAGACGACTGCCTTCATGGAGAAAGTTTAAGGAACAGCTTCATCAATACCCACAATCACTCTCTTGGGCAGCAATCATTGAAAGTGAAATCAAAATTATTTTGTCTACATTTCATTAGCTAACTTGTGTGTATGTGTGTATGTGTGTGTGTATGTGTGTGTGTATGTGTGTGTATATGCGGACGCATGCACGTGTGTATGTGTGTGCATGCATGTGTGTATATGTGTGTGCATGTATACATGTTTGTTTGATTTTGTACATGTGTGGAGATCTGAAGAGTCTTGTGCTTCAATTCTAAGGCACTATCTTTTTATTTACTTAATTTTACATGTGATTCCTCACTGGTATCAAATGCATTCCTTTGGCTAGACCAATAATCCTGAAGGATCTCCTGTCTCTAGCATCCTTGTGTTTGGATTGCATGTATACATACCACGCTCATCCACTTTCTTTCATTTACTTTTCTTCTTTCTCTTTTTTTCTTTTTAACATGTGTTCTAGGGTCAAACTCAGATCCTCATTCTTGTAAGGCAAGCGCTTATTACATAATTACCTCCTCAGCCCCCCTAGCCTCAGCATCTTCCCTTACTGTGATACCAGCACTCCATTCTGTCTATACCTGGATTCAAGGATAGGCCTGTAGAACAGTACAAGAGTAGGTGGCCGGGGTGGGGGACGGGGACTGGAGCCTGTTCTCTTTTGATTCATATCCTTGTCTTTCACTGATTTACTTCCAGTGAGTATAATGATTTACCATTTTGGTGGTCTTTATTCACTTTGTTCTTCATAAGCCCTTCGTTGGCTTTCTAGAAGTTATTGCCACTGAATTAGATTTTAATGGAGTTAATATATCAGTATGTTATTTAGCAGTTTAGCCCGTGATTAATCCTAGAGAAGTTGGGTGAATGCCTTACCAGAAGGCTGTGTGTTCTCCAATAACTGCATTACTCATGTGGGATATGGAGGGACAAATCCAGAGAAGCAGGAAAAATGAGGCCAGGTGACTGGGGAGGCAGGGCTCCAGGGCTTAGTGTCTTAGAAAGGCAACATTTTTCTCTGGGGGTGGGGCTCAGTTTTCCATTCTAGGGTCTTTGGTGAGGAAAGCAGACATTAATCCTACAGAAAATAAGATGAAAATGTTACTCACTTCTGAACGAAGCTTAATGATGAATCAATAGAGTCGCCTTTGGATTTTTCTTTTCAGTGCACTGACTCTAAACAATGAGCAGGTCTCTGGCTTATGTGCACCTAAGACTTACAGTTAAATTAGTTTTTCTCCCATTTCCTTACCAAATGAGAAGCAATGTAATCTTTATAATGTACTCATTAGTAAGATCCAGACCCATTAAATTCAATCTTTGGTTTTCACCCATGCTATCAAATACACATTAACCCCTCTTGCATTTCCACTTTTCAGAGAAAGGAAATAACAGTAGAAAATTCATCTGAACTTTGCTCACCAACACAGATAGTTACAGTGTCCTGAAGAGTCTACAGATAATATATGGATTTTTATTTCTGTCTTCCTTGCCTCCCATGTGTATGCTGTGTGCATGTGCATGCATACACACACACACACACACACACACACACACACACCATACACACACACACATACCATACTACACACACACACACACGTACAGTGTTTGTATGTATGTGGGCTTGAGAGAGAAAGAGAGAGGTATACAGGTATATTCACCTGTGTGGAGGCCCCAAAGTTAATATCTGACATTTTCCTCATTCTCCTTTGTGTTGACTGAAGTGGGTCTCTTTTTGAACCCAGAGCTCACAGATTCTGCTGCGTGAGTATCCAGCTTGTCTCTAGCACACGGACTCCAACGATCTCCCAGACTTCTGAGATTCTGACATCATGCCAGCCTAACTTTAAGTGTGTTCTAGGGATTCAACTTTGCTTTCCACACCTGCTTTCTATGGTAGGCAATTTGTTCATTGAGCCATGTCTTTGGCTGTCATGCATACTTTTCCATCTACAGGGTCCCTGAACAGTTGGAGATCCTGCCTTTCTGACTGTGATGTCATCACTTTCTTTTCCACCATGGGTATAGTAAGTGGCACATTTGTCCTTCAGTGGTACCTTTGTGAGACAGAGCTAATTTTTCATTCTAGGTACCTGTAGCTACAGGCTCTGTTGATAACACCAAAAACAGCCTGCAGTTCTAGGTTACGCTGACATAGGTAATGACTTAAAATTCCTCTGAGCTTAGATATTTTTTTTTTTGTGCTTATGAGTCTCTAAATTAGCTTTCATTATCTCAGCAGGTCTCTGCCTTTTGAGTTTTGAAAGTCATAGTTTATAAATATAACCAGGGCACCAAAGTTCTTTGCTCTTAAGGTAACAAACCCCTACAGGATGGGAAGGTGTAAGGGTGTTAGTGTTAGCTGAGAATTACATTCAATGAATATAGCAGTCATTGCTCTGAGGTGAATAAAAGAAGTCAAGCTTGATTTGATTTCAGCCACAATGTTTTTAGCTGGTACCAGAATGAATCCATGCCAGAACTGGCAAGGGCATTGGGAGGAGAGAATCCCTGTGGATTGTGTATAATTATACCTAAGAAGGAGGAATATATGAAACACCCTGTGAGGTGCCATTTGGACTCTGTTCCTGTGAAGGGGTTTAATGTTTAGAATCTGATACAGTGAGTCTCACCCAAGTGGAATTTCTACCAGCAACAGATAAATTAGGGTCATGAACAGCAAATATTATTTGTATTACTTATTAACTAGACTTGAAAAGGGCTAAGAAGCCATCCAAACCTTCCTGCCTGCTCTTGGGAAGAAGGTCTTCCTTGCAGAAGGCAGAGGACACTTGGCAATCTGGACCCCTTTCAAAGGTTACAGTCATCGGAATAAATCATTACTCCTGCTTAACAATATCTGCAGCTAGGACATGTATTCTCAGAAATAACATGCCTTTAGACCTGACGTGAATTCTTCCACTTTTTTTCTGGAAGAAATGGGGTGCTTCATATTGTTCAGCCACGTACTAGTGGCTCTATAGCAAAAGAATTCATTACATAGTGAAGGCACTAGCTTGGAGGGTATTTCTTGGGGGAAGTGCTCTCATCTCTGACTCTCATCCTCTGCAGTCTCCAATTGTATTGTTTCAAAGACACTCTCATCCCCTCTGGACAGCCAGTGTGCACACTAGATGGCAGTAATAGCCCATTTTCAGACTCTCTTTTTGTTTTCCCCTCCCCCTTCCGCTTCTGGCATAGTCTTTTCTTGTCCATAGCAATAGAGAATAAAAGATGCAAATAAAGTCTCTTTATTTTGTACAAGGCTCATTCAGAAAAGCTGATATACAATTAAAATGATCAGGAAATAAATATTTTAAACAATATTGAAAACTTCAGGCATGGTGGGTTTTCCTTGGTGGTAGGGGAAGGTCTCTGATTCATTTCTTTGTTTGTTATTCTTTTTCAGACATACTTTAATTACCAAAAGAGGCTTGTTGAGGCCCAAGGTCTAAGCTTAAATGAGACAATAAAAATGTATTTTGGAGGGAGTAGGAGGCCGACAGAATCTAGCCAGGCCAGTTGTTTTTTTCCTCAAATCCTGTGCTTCACTAGCAGATTGACTATGCCTTTATACAACATTAATCTGGATTTCCTAGACACTCGACAGTCAGATGCAAGCTCAGAGCTGCATAAGTATTGCTCATTAACAGTAAGTAAGATACTGGAAACAGAACCATAAACCAAACCAAAGGCTCCTGACACAAGTAGGCCCTTTTAGACTGTTTGTGTAAAATTTAAATCTGCGTTGGTGAGCAGGAAAGAGACAAATTCTGTTTCTGTGAAATGTTCTCAGGCAGCTAATCCAGGCCTCTAGAATGTCCTGTCTGAGGTCAACTTGCATAAGAAGTCTCTACTCTTATTGGAGATAATTCATGTTGTTACCAAGGCAGTAAAAACACAAAATGCTTATCCTAAAACAAATGTGTCAAACTTAAATTAGATGTTGCAGCCATGGATTTTTTCCAGTCCCAACCACAGCACTGGCTTCCCATTGGAATACACAGGCAGGAACTATGCTCCCATTTCCCACAAATTCTGCAAACATCTCTTAAAGGTGGCTATGGCGAAAACCTAAACAACATCCTAAAGAGCAACTCAAATCCATGGGCAGATATTAATTTTTTACTTGGGCCACATGTAAAAATGATTAATGTATTATTTATAGATACTGCCTTTCCAGGGAGATCAAGGTCATCTGCCGACTTCAGGACAATGGGTCAAGTCTTGAGAGGCTGGGCTAATAATCCTGGCTGACAGTTTCTTGGACAATATTGCTGTCCTTTAAGTAGATGCATTTTCCTACTTGGAAAGAACTGTGAAAACATTTTTATTTTTTTAAGTATTTTTAAATTAGTTAGTTACTCATTTATCTGACTTGATCTCAACTCCTTAACTTTGATCAGAAGCAGGGCATGTGCAGGAGTGTTGCTATGGGCACCTTCTCTCTTCCTGGAGCCTCTGAATCATTCTACTCTGAGAAACATACAACTAGCCTTTCCACGTGCCTCACTTACCTTGTCCTCTGTTAATGATATTTCCAGATTGTCTAGGACTCAGAAAAGAAAACTCAGTTATAGCACTGTGAAGGAAAGACTGGACTTTTAGATCATTCACTCAAGAATACAGATGGGAAATTATTTCTAAGAATGTCCTTCAATTCAATATATGATATTATACCAAATCCCATGCCTTTAAAGTTGTCATTTGTATGGATTCCTGTCTGCTGTTGGTATATTGTACTGTGTATACCTTTATCATATGGAGAATATGGATTAGTTTTACCAAACAATCATGGGGCATACTATTGAGGTGCCAATTTATAGAATTTATTGGGTAGTGCAATGTGGAAGGATATAGGGAAGATTTGGCCACTCTAATGTAAGAAGTAAGAAGTACGTTGCAGAACTTACTTTCAAGTAAATATTATGCAAATTAGATGGGTTTCTATGCTCAGCATGCACCAGCAATTCTAAATTGCCTTCTTTTTGAATTCTCTTGTAGTGCTGTCTAAACAGAAAAGGATGTAATGCTCTCACCTTATCTTAAGGCTTATATTACCACCTAGCTTTGGACATTACAATTCATAACAAAACAAAAACACTACAAGTAATTATTACATTATTATAATTGCTCCCAGAGGCAGATTTCTGTACTTCCTTTGGTTTTCAGTTGGAGATTTTGTGATTTTTACCCATTGATTATTGAAATTTTTTACCTTGAATGCATCCTGCAATGCACTATTCTCTATTAATTGGGCTTTAATTAAAAATTTCATGCAACAATTCCTTCAATTACTCTCTACGTATAACATCAGAAATTAGTGAATGGCACACAAATGCTTCAAATGAATAAGCCCAAAACTTCTTAAAAGAGTTTGTGACGTTGAGAAAAAGAAACATCTGTCAAGGGAAAATGCCACAGTGTTATCACCAAAGCTGATAGGAGTTGAGAAAGCCCTAAGCAAGCAGCTCAGGGTGTCTCTGATGAAATGCCCTGGTCGAAAAATATCTTTGTGATAATGAAAAAGATCAATTCATCAACTTTCAATAAAATAGGAATTTCATTTTGTATCTGAGATAGTTATACAAACATGATCCAGAGTTAAAGCCCTGGATTTTTGAAAGGAAGCATCCTAAAATCTTAGTCCTGACTCCACAATGTACTCCACCCTAGTCTGGAACCCATGGCATTGGTTCAGGTACCTATTAAGACTTAGTTTTCCCATTTAATAAATTTGATTCAGATAATATAACAGCTGAGTATCTGGAGTGTGCTTTACCAGATGTTACTACAGTTCATGATTCACAAAATATCTCAGTGTTTTCTTTCTTTTTTTATATATAATTTATTTTTTTTCAAATTGTAATTTATATTCAGTGTTTTCTTATCTTCTACATTGCATGTGGAGTTCCAGGTGTACAGCAAGCAATCTGGGCCAGTTTTTCAAGCAGCCAACAATGGGTTATTAGGTTTTACACAAATGATTATTCCCATTCTTTTCATTCTTTGTTTTTCTTCATATCATTGCACAAGCGTTTCACCTGTTTAGTATAGTGTGGTTATTCACTCAGTGTTCAT